TGCCACAGACGGAAATTGGGAATCCATAACTGTGAAATTTGTAGAAGGAAAATGTAAATGGCCTAAAGAGCCCCCTAGGATAGCTAATGAATAATGAAAGAGTCATCTACAGTAATTCTATTTTTATGTTCCTTGAGACAGATCTGACAGTCAAGGCTACAAAACCATTTTCTTAAAGGTTCTAAACGTGACTGTTTTATCTTTTATTTTCAGTTTGGATGGTTAGATGCTTTGCAAGGCTAAATATCTGTATAGGACAGTCACAGGGGGATTCAGTCCTAAACATAGTTTTATAGTGGAATGTTAATGAGAAATCCATACAAGATTGGCACAGGATGAATGAGAGCATTGAGCCCCTGTGAAGTAAGAGGTTGAGGCCATGCAAGATGTTTTCAGGCATCTAAATGTTTCTAGAAATCTATATTCAAGCAAGTAGATTTCCTCAGTATTTTAATACTGTCTGGCTTTGCACTCGTCAATTGCTTATAGATATTACTCCAAGATGATATCTCATATTCTGAAAAGGTAAATACACTCTGGATATGTCACTTGAGCTGAATCCAGATATCTTAGTATCACATCTATACATTTTTATCTAAGAGAGAAGAGCACAGAGGCTGGATCTGATTCAGATACCATAGACAGGCAAGTCTTCAAGGCTTACTGGTGGCTGGTTCTGCAGCTATACAGGACATAGGCATACTTAAATTTGAAAAAAATAATGTCTTGCATTTCTTTTTCCTAATATCTTGTATGCATCAGATTAGTTTTCAACTCGACAGAATATATCAGTAAGAGATTACATCTTCTACTATGCAGAGTTAGAAACACGACCACAAATTATTTTTCTGCCAATTAATAGATTTTTTAATGTATAATACATGTTCTTCATTAGGCCTTATCAGCTTATTCAATAGCTAATTTAAGGCTACTCAGAAATTGTAGACAGTTGTACTGCTGTCCAAAAATTAAAATAATTTTTGTATAAACCTAATAACTAGTTCTATATGGTTTGCTCTTGTTACTACACGAATTGTTAGTTGTTTATGACTTCCATAAAGCCATCAGTTTTGGCACCATTATTATGGATTTGGGATCTTTTCTGATACAAGACTGGCATATCACTTTTTTCTTGTCAGAATTAGCAAGAAACACTTTGTAAAGATATCTGGTATCAACTTTCCCACACTCTCTCACAACATTTAATTTTTAGTGGATTTCAGATTAATTAGAAGAGCATTAATCTAATCTATAATGTATGCCCTGGGAGAAAATTCTTAAATAAGACATGAAAAAGGCTAAAACTAGTTGCCTGAAATTAATATGAGCAATCCATTAGAACTTTAACTCATGGTCAAGAATCAGATGACAAAATGTTCAAGGTCTGCAATATCTGTAAAATTTAAGTATTTTGCTTTTAAATTAGATTCATTTGAGTATTTTTCTATTCTGCCTTGTGGGGTTTTTTTTTTAACATTCTCTGGAAGTAATTTGCAATTGTTACAGAAATATTCAAAATTAACGTATTGTTGGTCTGTTCTGGAAAATTTTGTTGCACTTTATTCTGGCACTGTTAGAAATGAATACTTTTAGGGAGGACCTGTTGTTCACAGAAACAGGACTTCGGCATAAATATCCTGGGAAAACAATATCCTGATGAGAGAAACAAGGTCTTCCACAAGTGGTAAGTTGGTAAGATAAACAGTTATATAAGACAGTCATTTGCAATTCTATTTTCTATTATCTATTGAATAATATTTAATTTTTTCCTAAGTATTATATGTTCTCATTGAAGATATATAGGGACCTCGTGCTACTGTCACTTCCTAGTCATGATTAATATAAAAAACTAGTATCTAAGGCTGCTGCAAGGAAGGGAGACTATTGTTAAATCCCGGTACAAGGACAGGAAAAACTATGGCATCTGAATGGTCATTCTTACTGGCATTGTAATGTAACTCTACCTTATAAAATTAAAATTGTGTTATCTTAATGTGACTATTGGAAAAGATAACATTGAAATTTAGTATCATGGGAGCAAAGGTTGAAGTTATGAATGAAATAATTTATTACTCCTTAGCTCACAAAAGGCAAATCATGCCACTGCTGCTGTTTCCTGGAGTTTGCTGTGCACTCAGAAAACTAAAACCAAAGAAACAAATTCCATGTAGTATAAGATGGTGTCATCCCCATATATCTGTTGGAAACACAGAGAAACTCACACCTACCAAAGAACCATCCGAGATCTAGGCTTTACTTAAAAATTAGTCAGCTTAAATTAGTGTTTCAACGGTCTTGTGAAAGGAGTAACAATTTTCATTCATCCTAGGTTTCTAATGCAATTGAAAGAGTACACTAGGATGATCACAGCATTTTTGCTTATACTTTTCCAGTGAGATATTGCCTGTTCTCTTACAGTAAGTACAGTATGAACACTTATTCAAATACAGGGAACATGCTAAAGTGACAATGTGAAACAAGATCTTCAAATACTGTAGAAATGGATTCATAAAACTATTTGAGGATTTATCATCACAACGAATTTCTGTCAAAATGGCACATGCTCTGCTGTAAAACAAACTGAAAATCTATTTTGATTTCTAATGAAAAGAAACTTACTATAAAATTAATTACAAAGTACCTGGTTATGAATCAGGACTTCCAGGAAATCTATTTCACACAAAAGAATTCCACATCAATGTTTCTATTGATTTCTATGAGATTTAGAGTAAGCTCTCTTCTAGTGTCTACAAGGGTAAGGAAAGTTGTTTTGTTCTTCCGTTGATCATAGTGACAGTTGACTTTGCATTTATTTAAATAATAATAATTTCCCTGTTATTACAACCCTTTGATTTCCTAAAACCAATATTCAGAAATGAACACATTTGGTTTTGTAACCTTTCAAACATGGAATACTCATATTCGCTTAGACACACTCCCTTGAAAGTAAAACAGAGTTCCAATAATAATTCCCAAACTGTCCTAAAACATCATCATCAATAGAATATCTCTTAAACACAGCTTCATCTGTCTCTCAAGGGCAGATTTACACTGATCCTTTCACCTGTTATAGACACAAACTGCTAGAAGCAAAAGGCTAAAGGCCACATTGTCTTCCTTCATCTCCTCCCTAGCATTCATGTGCAGTCCAAACGCACCTCTGCAGAAGCTATGGGTTTCATTTCAGAGTTCAAATGAAACCCTTGAAACAGTGACATAGTAAGACTGACATCACAAACAAAAGATTTAAAAGAAAAAGAAAGGTCTGTAATTCCAGACAGCAGTCAAGTCTATCATCACCTTGAATTGCTGTCCATCATACTGAAAGAGGATGACTCCCCTAGGCAAATGCCAGGTGGAAAGTAATCATACTTTACACTTTTCTAGTGCCTTTATCTGATGACCTCAAAATACTTGGCAAACATTAATTCATTCACGTGAAGATTTCTGAATTATATTTTTTACTATGAACCTCTCTGACTATTATTTTTTCACACTGTACTCTCTCTCTCTCTCCAACAACCTAAAATCAAAGCTAGTGACTGGCTGATAGTGAAAATAATATGTCTGCACAAATCTGAAAAAGTGACAGCTGTTGACCAATATTTCTAAACAAAGAAAACAAAAAAGTTACGAAGGCTTGCATTGTAGGACAAAATCAGCGCAGCCTAAGCCCACAAGAAGCATTGTTTTTCTTCTAGTCACTGCTTACATCTTTAGATTCATATCTTTTCCTACTATAAAATGCAAAAATTATTTGGATATTAAGTTATTTTTTTTAGAACAATTATAATGGATTTAAGAACAGTTTCTGATATAATGAATATTTCTAAACATATGTGTAATGTAAAAAGCAATATTCTAGCAAATGTCATTGGGGTAGCATATCAAATGAACCTTTTAATGTCAAGTTTTCAGCATTGTCCGAAGAGCCAATTTTATAAAATTGCCGTGAATGGACAATTTAAATGAATGGAACTAGTCATATACAATGATTTTTGTTAGCAGATTAATGGTTTACATTCTCAGAAGAATTGTCAAAGACTTTTCTGTGGTAATTCAATAAATGCTTGAAACTTCTTAATTAAGGCAAAATTATTTGTTAGCTCTTAACTTACTCATACTAAAAAAAGGTATATCCCATAAATCATAGAAATTTCTGTATCACTACCAGTATCTTCTGATACATCACCTGATTAAATATAATCAAAAGAAGTAGTATAAATGTAGGTATTTTATTGCACAATGGCAAAAATTTTAAACATCAGATATCTACTACAGAGTAAGTAGATTACTGGATTGCTAGTCTCTGATGTGTTACTAACATTAGCCATGCCTGAATTAACAAAATAAATTTGACTATATTTTGTTTCATAATACAATTCCTGGATTACAAACACCAGAAATAATATACAAGAAGAAAAAGAATAATAAATGTTATATTATATTGTAGGAGATCACAGCTTTATTTATTATTATTTTAATGCCTTTCCATACTTCTCTTCACTGTCCTGCCCTGCTGTATAATGTCTAATATAACTGGATTTTTAGCTGCTAACAATTCTAATCATGCTCCTTAGACATAAAGTGAGAACAGCTCCTCAAACTAATAAATCCTCTGCAATTAAAAGGGATTTTACTCTGATGCACCCATCATAGATTCAGATTTTTAAATCAATAGTACAGGCACAAAAGATTAAATGCCTAATATTACCTCAGGGTAAAGGTATGTCATTTATAATGACATAGGAATGTCATTATAAATTACATTATATGCAGTTTCCTGCCAGGTTTTGGTCCAATGCAAGTGATAGCTAGTCAAAAGATTTTAATTTTTACAAAAATGTTCATAAATTAAACTACAATTCCCTATAAACATTCTATGCTTATTTACAAGAAAGTATCATCTGTGACTATAAAAGGTCTAGGAAACAATCACCAAGAGTAGGCCAAGTACTAGCGGCTGCCATCAGAAATAGTAATGTTTAAATGTTACTTACGCCTGTCGATCCCTGTACATCTTGTTAACTTTCTCCCATTGAAAATTAAGCTGAGTCAGCTTTTCTTGTATATTTGCTGCTTCCCTTGGTGTAGCACTTTGCAAAGCCAGTATCTTCTTGTTGTGAATAATGTCTACACGACCGAGCAGTCTCCCCAGGCTATCTTTAATGCTCTGTAATATCAAGATTTTAGAAAAGAAAAAAACACATTGTTTTTATAAATTAAAAAAAAATGTTCATAAACAAAAGATAGAGGGGGAAAATGCTAATTAAACAATAGTTTTGATGTTAAAACCAGTTTTACAATAATCAGGTAATAATGTCTGAATGTCCACCTTTTCTCTGAAGTCTTACTAATCTGTATCTTAGAAAGGTGATGGGTGGAGAGGAAGCAAAGCACTATTGACTTCAGCCACCCATTAATTCCTCTACACCAAGTTTACATCTGTTTTAATCCCTTTTTTTCTTAAGAAAGAAGAACAAAGTCCCATTTTACAGTCTCGTGTTTAAGTGTTCTTTAATTATTTTGCTGTTTATGCTTCTCTTTTATACTTGTTTCAGCAGATATTAAAAAGATACCAAAGTAACAGCATGAAAAAAATATCAAGTATCACTGATTTTGCCTTGTGCTGGATATTCACAAGCCAACATTTATCATTCTTCAAGTAGTCAGTTCTTTGTTGTTTCAGAGAAAGACAAAATACTTTAGAGCACACCCACCTAACTGTACAATGCCATGTGCTAGAAGACCAAAAGGAAGAAAAATTTAATTTACTCTGGATCTTTAACATCTTTAAAATGTGTGAAAGCATTTAAAATGCCAAACATTGTCAATGATCATTAATTATCCATTTGCCAGTCCATTCAGTTCCATAACTGAATTATACAGGTTTTCTTTTTGCTCTATAAAGTAATACATAAATATGCTGTTTATTTCTATTCTGTGAGCTAGACAGTGTCCAACCTCTCTCTCTCTACTAAATCTTTTAGAATCATTTGAATAACTGCATTTCTTAGAAAACCCAATGTGGAGGAAATATATTGCCATAAACTGTGCACTGACTTAAGAATAAAAGCATCAAATGTAAAAAAGTAATTAGCAGAGACTTCCTCCTTGTGAATCAAGACTGATGTAAGGAAATCCTCAAGTAGAGGACTTCCTGTCACATTTCAGTCTAGCATCCAAACAGCCATAATTTGGTACTTTCGTGATTTCCTTGTTTATCAGAAAGACAACACATATCTTTTTGAATCAACCAAAACCCATGAGTTACATAAGCTTACCTTTCAGCCTCACATTATGTGTTCCAAAACCAGAGAAATAAATGCAGGTTTTGGAGGAAAATCATGCCTTTTATGCAACCACTTTATACAGGTGTCATTTCTTTACAGTTCCGCTAACATACATCACATGTAACACTACCAGAGGGGCAACACAAGGAAAACAAATGTTTCTGAAATGCACCTCATCATTAACCCTTTAATTTTGCATTTCTGTTTCTTGTACATGGCCTCTTCCAGCCTCGGTGTGATAAGGCACATGCTACTTGTGCTGTTCCGGGGATTTTTATTTTTCTCTCTGTAGTATTTATGTTCCTAAGGAAAATGTTCTCGCTCCCAGATTACTCAAGACATCATTATAAAGCAAGAACATGTCACAGTTGTTGATTTCCTTCAGCCAAACAAAAATCCTTTCCTCAGTGAAATTAAATCCATCTTTTGGAAATGCTATGGCCATAGTTCCTTACAGTGGTGAACTTTGCACTATATCTCTTGCTGCCTGAATAAAATGCAGCCAGGCATGAAAGAATTAAAGGTTTTGGATTGGTGACTGCATCAATTTG